TATCAGCATTTTTCTCCCACAATTTTTAAAACACGATCACCATTAATTTTCATTAACGTATGAGCAAAATTTTGCTCAACTATGAATATTTGGAGCTATGCTCATTTGACAAATGCAAGTTCACGTTCAAAATCTTCAAGATAGTGGAGTTTCACTCCTGATTGTCTTGGGGCATGATGTATTTAAACATGGATTTATTTTCAAACCGAATTTATCATATTCAGCTGAAAATCTTTAAACTAATGTGACAAGTCCGTTACGTTTAAAAACAAACTAACTATGAACAAAAACACTTCACAAATATTGGTATTTACAATAAGAATAATTATAACAATTAAAAAAAAAAAAAGTAATGAAGTTTGCTAGAGATAAATATAACATATCTTAATATTTACATCATGAGCAATATTGTACTATAACACAATGTAGTATTGTTGGTCCACGCAAAGTACAACAAACACAAGCTGAATTACAAAATTGAAAACTGTCATTGAACATGTCTTGAAAGAAATATTTACATTCCAAGACTTCAGATAACTTTCAAAATTATGAAGTGTTGACTCATTAAAAAATTTCAAATTTTATGTCTTGAAGGTGAAGGTTACATAGGAGTAATGACAAAATTAACAAAAAAACAAAAAAAAACATAAATGAGTCAGAATTCCTTATAAGGGAAATAAGTTGTTTTGTTGCCTCCCTTTTTTCAGGGTTTCCATACTTTGTTTCACTCATTTCCTTTTTTTATTTTATGAGTGAAAGCAGCTTTAATGTAACACTGACTTGTTCTTTTAGCAACATAATTTTTTGAAGGATGTTAAATATTTAAAAAGTAAATAGATTTTAGTATTTTTGACAAAAACCAAAGGATGAAATTTTCTGATAACTTTTGAAATCATCAAATGTAAATAAATTATATTTTGAAAACTTTAATCAGACAGAGGGGAACCTGGTAAAAAATGGACTTTGAAAAAATGTAACTGTTACAGGTTTTTGAAAAAACATTTTTTTTTTTACTTGATATAGTTTCTTAAACGTAAGAAAAATATGTTAGTATTCAAATACTTACATTTAAAAAAAATGCAAATGCTAATGCTGTAACTAATATGAGGCCGCCCATAAAGTATGTCACGCTCCCGAAGGGGGGAGGGGGTTAAGAAAGTGTGACAGTTTTTGACAGGGGGGAGGGGGGGGGGGGCATGCCACTTGTGACGTCACACATTTATTTTAAAAAAAATGTATTTCTAATTTATTATTTTTTTTTTTTTTAGTGGAATTTAATAGCTTTAAAAATAATTTTCAAAAATTTTGTGAAACATTTGAATTAGTTTTATGTCAAAATAGCATAAAATGTGTAACTCCTGAATGTGTTGTTCATGATTCCTCTCGCTAGGAGCGCTAGTGTGCTGTTGCGAAGCCTTGTTTTATGTATAGACTTGCTTTCGACATGCCTGAAGTATTATTATTTCTATGTTGTCCACTGCATAAGTTTCGCTAATCTACTTCTTATCCTGTGTAAAAAGATTGCATATTCGGAAGATTATCTAAAACTTTACCTCACCTATTGTAAATGAAAAAGCAGCAGATAAATGATGTGTATTATATAATTGTCTAGTCTAATTTTGCAATTTTTGTTTTCAAATTCAATCTAGATTTAGTTACTGCTTCAATGAATAACTGTGACAACTGTCGACAATTAACTATTCTACTATAGTCATTTTAATAATGTGATAGTGGAAATTAAGTGGAAATTTTATATTTTAATACAGTTTAATAGTGAAGTGTGTTTTAGATTAAATTTTAATAAGGTGTTAATTTTTAAAAAAAGAAGTGTTCGAAAGTGTGACGTAATTTTCCGCGATTTGTGATAGTTTGTGACAGGGGGAGGGTAAAATGGTCAAAAATAGCGTGACGTACTTTATGGACGGCCCCTATCTTGAAAGAAATTCATTACCCATTTGGTAAAATATCTACTCATTTGTTTTAGTAGATTCAAGAATATTTTTTAAAAAAAATATAGTAATTCACTAACAGACTAATATCTTCGAATTCTCTGATTTTAAACAATTTAGAGTCAACAAGTCGGTTCTCAACTATCTTTACATTCTGTATTTCAAACCATGTAATGTAGAGTTAATCATTTTTAGATTTGACTAACTATTTTGACGTCTTTATCTCCCTTGGCTTTACTTGCTCCTTTTCTTTTAAAAATGTGTTGTTGAATTTCTTACTTTAACTCTATATAAAATATTCAATGTCTTACATTATTTAACATTGCTCATTGATCTGTTAGATTAAATTGTTAAGAAGTTTAGAGTTTCTCACATGATACATCTGAACACAGAAATCATAAGTGGATTGTCATTTACTATAATTATAATTTTTTCTACTCGTATCTTGTCACCTGACACATGTGGGTAAAAAAAAATAAAATAACTTCATTACTTCCTATAAATTATAAATAAACATGAAAACAATTTTAAAAAAAAAAACTCTCACAGGAAAAGCAACAACTTAATTCAGAGGGCTAAAACATGATTAATTCTGCATCTTGTTTAGTGAATAAAACTGAAAGGACATCTCTGCTCCCATTGTATGTCATTTACCAATCCTCGATGCTCATCATAGTACAAGCAGTCATTAAATAAAAAAAAAAAAAGTTTTTTTTTTTATTTGGATAAAATAAAAAAGGGTTGAGTATCCCAAGAGGTCATATTGAAACAAGAATATCCCCGAGGCAAACGTATCTAGAACTTTTAATCTGAAGACAGAGTGCTCAGAAAGAAAAATAAATAAATATATCAACAATTTTTAAAGTGGTACTCTCACTAACTTCTCACATATAATACTAACTTTTAAAAAAAAATCTGGCTAAATTTACCAACATTTAAGTTTGAAAATAAAATATCACCAGAAGGTAGAGAAGAATTTACAGGGCTGAATTCTGGCTGGTGGGGCTCATAAATACTTTCACTTTCACTTTCATCCTGAATAACGAGTCCAGCACTAACAAGGACACACCGCTTTCATATGTTGTTTTTTTTTTTTTGTTGTGTTAGAAAACATATTAAACACCTAGATAATTTACTTCTTGTTGACGGTTTCTCATAAATACTTTCACTTTCACTTGCATCCTGAATAACGAGTCCAGCACTAACAAGGACACACCGCTTTCATATGTTGTTTTTTTTTTGTTGTGTTAGAAAACATATTAAACACCTAGATAATTGACTCCTTGTTGACGGTTGGTGGCGTTGACTTCGAGTCTTGCCTCAAGCTGTCACCGTCGAAATCAGTGCTTGCTACACTATCACTTTGACAAATATGCATCTCTAATTCGGTCAGTCGAGACTCCACGTCCCACTGCTGCTGGTTCAGCTTGACAGTCAGTGCAGAGTTCTCCCCCTCGAGCTGGGCCAGCCTCTCCCGGAGTCGCGTTATTTCCTTGAGTAGTGTGTCGGAGGGGTTGGGGTCTCTGGGAGGGAGCGGTGAGTGCGGAGAGTGGAGTTGACCTGAAGCGAACTGAGGTTGAAGTTGTAAGGGGTTTCCCGCTGAACCAAGGCCGTGCGGGGAATGATGCAGCAGCGACGGCGAGTGTGGGTAGCTTGGAATGGATCCTTGCGTCGCAAGCGGCAGGAGACCCCCGTGGGACGACGGCGTTGATGGGGGCTGAGGTAAGATCAGATTTGGTGCGGGCGAAGGCTGAAAACTTGCCGGAGAGCCCGGAAAGGGGTTCGGAGAAGCAGGGTACGGACTGGGCTGCGCGCAGAACGGTGTTAAAAAGTTGATGGGCTGTCCCGTGTTGATGTAGGTCATGTTGTGGTAGGCGTATTGAGCCGCTGCTAGGGATATGGGCGGTGGCCCGTGATGAGGTGTTAGATGTCCTAATGATGAATGACCGTTGACCAGTGGGGGCGAGCTGACCACCCCGGTATTGTCTGCGATGTGATAGGCAGTAATCTTTGGACTGGGCGGCGCACTGAATGGGTTTCTTGCTGCCTCAGTACAAATGGGGGATTTTTGGGGCGGTGTCCCGCAGTACGACGTCATACTGGAAATAGTCATAGAGGTTGTCATATTTCCGACGGGATGCTGGGAGTCCGAGGAGAGTCGTCGGGGCGCGTCTGTGGCACAGCGGGAGATGAGGTTGTCCTCACTCTGGGTGTTGGTCAGTGTTTTTAAGGCGTGGTCGTCCCGGCCCGCAGCGTTGCCCGAGGAGCCGTCCTTGTGGATGAGCCCGACAGGAAGTGTGTGGTGGCGATGAACCATCATCGAGTCTAACGGCATTTTACCTGTACTCTCGACAAGGCCTGGGGTACTACGGCTTCTTGACATAGACACTGGAAAGAAATAAAAAAAATTGTAAAATAATAGTGATATATCTTTTTAAAAAAATTATTGAAATTAACACCAATAAATCTTTTCAATCTAAAAATAAAATTGCGTTCTTATCCAACGTATTTCTTATCGTTGAACTACTTTAGTCTTACTTTAATTAGAATGCTTAAAAATCTTACGCAAATACTCGTAAATAATTAATTTTTGCAAGACGCTTAAACTTATACATATTAATTAAGACAAGTATTTTTTATTGCACAATTAGAATGGTTATTAAAATAAATTAGCAGGAGATATTGAATTAGTGAATTGGTTTGCCAAAAATTCTTCTACTACCAAATCATCAGGTGATATATATATATATATATATATATATATATATATATTAGCTATGCATTTGCAGGTGTCCAATACTTAGGTGTTCAAGTATCCATTCTGGCCAAGAATTCATATAAATATTAAGAGTAATATTTGGAAAAGATTGGACTATAGAACAAAGCCATAAACTGGATGTTGCCAGGTACCTAATGCATTAAACATTTCCCCAAAATCCCATTTAAGCGTCAGACTCACCCAACCTGCACACACTTACCCTTCTCCAGGGGCGCCTTTTTATACTTCTCCAGACGCTTGACGGCTATGGCCTCCAGCTTGACCCTCGCCGCGGGGTACTCCTTGAGAACATCCCACAAGTCCTTCTTGGACAGACAGAACAGGTCCGAGTAGCCGACCGATCGGACACTTGCCGTGCGTCGGTTCCCAGCTGTTCCCATATTTAGAATGCTGATCTCCCCGAAATAACTGCCTGGTGACACGTAGGGTGAACAATTATTGACCTAGCGTACGGAACTGGTTTCTTTGAATGACTGAAGCTCAGAAAAAACAACCGCGATGCAACAGTCAGCAAAAAAAAAAAATAAAAATAAATAAATTAAATCCGAAACACAGACAAAAAAAATAAAAAAATAATAATAATAAAAAAAAAAAATCCATAAAAATAAACGTAAAGAATTTAGTTTCCGTTTTTTTAAAACTCAAGTTAACACCAGTGCACGGAGGTGGTGAACTAATGAAAAATTTAAATAACTTCAAGTGCATGGACGTGAACGTAAAAGAGTTTTATACACTATTTAAGATGATTTTGATCTCTTTCCAGACTCCTTGTCAGTGTACAGTAGTGAACATATGAGAACTGAATTCTTCGCCAATCCATGGATAAAAAAAAAAAAATACGGGAAAAAAATTCTCCTATGTTGTTTTGACGTCTCCGAACAATGTATGTACCATGGCAAGGATTATTATTAATGTATGTACCATGGCAAGGATTATTATTATAGTATGTACCATGGCAAGGATTATTATTAATGTATGTACCATGGCAAGGATTATTATTATAGTATGTACCATGGCAAGGATTATTATTATAGTATGTACCATGGCAAGGATTATTATTAATGTATGTACCATGGCAAGGATTATTATTATCGCAAAATGAAAACATGAACCGTAGACAGCACAATTATCTGAGTTTATTGTATGAGTTTTGATACGGCTAACGCCCACTTTCTGTCGCTTTTCACTTGCTCCAAGGCAAACTCTCAGGTGGGTATCCGTGAGTAGTAGCATTCAAAGATATTTACATTAATACGTTCACTGTTTGAATGCATTTAGGGACAATTTTCTCGCAATTATAAATAAACAATCTGTACGTCCATAGATTTGCCTGTCAGTTTTAAGGAAAGTAAAAGCATTTCACTATTGAAATTGTATAATTTAACTTTTAACTAAAAGGATTAAGAAAAAAAAAAAAGAAGACATTACCAGGTTTCAGAGTTGCCAGGACAGTCTTCCCATTGTCAGCCACAACATGGAGACGACCTCTGTTGACAATGTACATCTCTTTACCGACCTCACCTGTCGACGAAGAGATAAATATTCACACTGAAGTGGACAAGAGTTGGCCATCAGTAATATTGCTGTGATAGAAACTTCAGGTTTCTATATTGAAAACGAAACATTAAACAATGTTTTAGATTTTTTTCCATTTGATTTAATGCTAAGCACTAAACCAGTAATCTATTAGTTTAAGTTGAGTCTCAGGGCTTCTCCAACTCTGCTTCGTTGAATCATTTTTGACTTCTCTGTCCATTGCAGTGGCGTAGATAGAGTAAGTGCCGCCTGGGACGGGCCAAGGATTTTGCTCCCTCCTCCAGTGGCGTATCAAGGGTTAGTGCCGGCCGGGGAAAGCTTTTTGCCCGCTCCTCCCACGAAAAACACCCCTGGCTTGCCGAAAATGCCGTTTCTCAATATGAAGAAAAAAAGTGCCGTGCGGGGCGGACAAGCACCCCCGCACCCCTTTCCACGCCACTGCCCGCCCTCCTTTCAGTGAAAACCCCCCTTTGCTTTGGTTCTAAAAAACTACTTTTTCACAAAAATATTTTCGTCCCCCCTTGGGGAGACCACCCCTCATTTCCCCCTCCCATACCAGTGGTCATATGGGTGGGGCTCAGTTGAAAGCAGTTTTAGCTGTGCACTACACAGGTTACGATATGTTTGAAAGGTTAGGATGTGTCCTGTGCATTGTCTTGAAATGTTTATGATGTGTCCTGTGCACTTCTTCAGAGCTTTATGATGTGTCCTGTGCACTTCTTCAAAGCTTTATGCTGTGTCCTGTGCACTACTATGGAAGGTTATTTCGTTGTCTGCGGTTTCTTCATATATTTAGAGTGTCTTCATTCTCAGTGTGATCATAGTAGCTGAAGCCCATCTGAACGTGATCATAGTAGCTGAAGCCCATCTGAACGTGATCATGGAAGCTGAAACCCATCTTGACGTGATCATGGAAGCTGAAACCCATCTTGACGTGATCTCCCTCTTCATTTTGCTCTTTTTACTTGTCATTTTCATCTGTATTATTATTTTTTTTATAACACAAACTTTACTCTTTAGACCACGTATACGATTAGAAATACAGTTTTAATGACATCATCAGCCATTTAAGATTCATTCAGAAAAACATCTACGCATCAAGGGAGTTTTGGGCCCGACGAAAATATTCATTTTACGCACCCCTTCACCCCAAAACCTATTATTTTCATCAATAAAATACCATTAAAGCCAATTTTTTCGCCACATTCTAGCCTGGCGCCCGGGGACACCTTTCCCATCTGCGCCGCCCCCCCCCCCACACTTTTTCAAGCCACACCTCTGTCACTCGCTAAAGTATGTGTTTTTCAAGTCTAAATGTCTGAAAAGAAAAGTGAAATAGATGCCACCAGTTGTTTATTTGGTGCCAAGAAAAGTAAAGGAACGGGCGGGGAAAGCGTATAATATTCCAAAGTAACTTCTTCATCTTGATTTACGTTATGCGGACCGCGTCTCTGGTATCTTTGCCGCCAGATTCCCGAGGGGGGAGAGAAGCCAATGGTTTCTTCTTATCCAGAGCGTTCATCTCAGCATTTGTCTCCCTCGTGTCATGCCAATGACGTCACATCATGGCGCCGTTGTCATGACAACGCCTCCCAGCGTCGTTTAATCTGGCCGAGGTGTTAGCGCCGATGAGGGTTGGGGGTTGGGGGCGGGGGGGGGGAGGGGGTGGGGGTGAGGGGTTGGGAAGACGGTGTATCATGGCGCCGTTGTCATGACAACGCCTCCCAGCGTCGTTTAATCTGGCCGAGGTGTTAGCGCCGATGAGGGTTGGGGGTTGGGGGCGGGGGGGGGGAGGGGGTGGGGGTTATGTGTTGGGAAGACGGTGAGTTATTGGTCTGCTTCACTGTTAGCTGATGAGTATGGTGGACCTAGAATTGTACGCCCCATAGGCGTAAGGCTGGTGTCGGCAGCCGCGTGCTTCACGTTTGTAATTGATCTCTTTTCAAATATCTTACACAAATTTTAGACAGTAAATATTAAAGAAAAAAAACCCACACTTTATTTCTTCAAATTTTAATCACTCTATATTTATAATTCCAATGAGGTCTCGGGTTCTTTTCTCGTCGAAGATAAAACCTTTCTAACCTAATACCAATTTGATTCAACTGGATGAGTTGAAAAAAAATAAAAATATTTTTGGTATAGCCCAGTCGTCGGCAAACTCATGAGCCAATAGAGCCAAAAATCAACAGCAGGACGATTAACAATTTTTGTGAGCCAAATTTCTTTTCAAGAACCATGTTTTTCGGAGTCAAAACCGATTTGTGGCCGACTGGCCGAACCGCACTCAGGTCGCTAAAAAGCCGCAATGCGGCTCGCGAGCCGCGAGTTGCCGACCCCTGGTATAGCCCCTTGCCACGACAGATACGTATATGACATTGCAAATAATTGCATATTTAAAATATAAAGTGGTTATGTTCATGAATCATGGCCAAAATTTGCATCGAGTTTTTAGGAAAAGAAAAGAGATTCAGTGAAATGACTCAAGCAGAACAAATGTCTCAAACTAGACCAAATGACTCAAACTAGAACAAATGTCTCTGGCTAGAACACATGAATCAAGCCATAACAAATGTCTCACTCTAGATCAAATGACTCACGCAAGAACAATCGACTTACGCTAGAACACATGTCTCAAGCTAGAACACATGTCCCAAGCTAGAACAAATGTCTCAAGCTAGAACAAATGGCTCAAGCTAGAACAATTTACTCACGCCAGAACAAATGACTCAAGATAGAACACATGAATCAAACTAGAACAAATGACTCAGACTAGGACAAATGACTCAAGTTAGAACATTGCAGTTAAAGAAGTTCGAAAGTCATTGATCTTTTTTTTTTTTTTGTAGAAAATGTTCGATCTTCATGATCACTGATGAATATCGACCAGTTTCTAATCACAAATTTATGGGCATCTTCATTTTTTTGGTTTTTGTTTTCAAACCTACACAACGCCAACACGTGCCGACATTGGTGAGCGTGCTGCTTTAAACGGTTTAAGGAATGATTCTCGTACCTTCTCGTATCATCTCGTACCTTCCTCAATATTCTCGTATCATCTCTTACCTTTTTTGTATCTTCTCATACCTTCTCGTAACTTCTCGTAGCTTTTCGTGACTTCTCTTACCTTCGCGTATATTCTCGTATCTTCACGGGAATCATCCAATCTTCCTAACCAGGTTACATTTGCGTAGTTTTTTAAAAAAAAATGGCCAGTAATACTGGAACTCCCCCCCCCACCCCCATCTCCTGCTATACTTGGGTAGTACCTTCGAAGTCTGCCCTTGTAGATCTCCTGACCTTGCGGATCTCATGACCTTGCAAGTCTCCATACCTTGCGGATATCCTGAACTTGCAGGTCTCCTGACCTTGCAAGTCTCCTGATCTTGCGGGTCCCCGCGCCTCATTTGTTGCAACGATTTTTCCCGGCTTTTGGCCAGGCACAAAGCGAGATAGAACGTTCCTTCCCACAAAAAGTTTGCCAATCTGTCGGTGGCTTTGATACCCCATCAAATGTGTTCTTAAAATGTCTAGTTTGAAACACTCCGCTTAAGATTTCAGTGAATTTTAACAAAGAAATAATTTCAAAGTAGATGAAGAGAATTGTGCTTGATGTGTTCATTGTTCAGAATATATAGGAAGTTGAATGCAATTATTAAAAGCTGATACATTGTTGATAATTCATGAACATGTGTCCATCAGGTCTTATCCCAACTGTATAGTGTACATGTGTCCATCAGGTCTTATCCCAACTGTATAGTGTACAGTGTCCATCAGGTCTTATCCCAACTGTATAGTGAACATGTGTCCATCAGGTCTTATCCCAACTGTATAGTGTACATGTGTCCATCAGGTCTTATCCCAACTGTATACTGTACATGTGTCCTTCAGGTCTTATCCGAACTGCTGAAAATAACATGTCACCAAATCCACACTACTGGATAGTAAACATGAATTTATAGGGTCTTATCCACAATGCTAAGAATGACATGGCACCATTGGGTCTTATCCCCACTGCTGATAGAGTACACGAATCCTAGGGGATCCTATCCACACTGCTGACAGCTGGTGACAAGGTTCCACTGTCTTATCCACACTGTTGACGGCCAGTGACAAGGCCCCACTGGGTTTTATCCACAGTGCTGACGGTTAGTGACAGGGCTCCGCTGTGCCTTATCCACATTGCTAATAGTGTGATAACATGCGAGCTCCATGTAAAACAACCACAAAACCAGCCCGCTACCCTGCCCCATTGCCGCACCCTTGGCCACGGGGAGCCCAGTGCTCATTAGATTAAGTGTTGCTGACACGCGTCTCTAAGAGGCTAAATGGCTCGTCGAGTCTCCACGACCGGTGAGAGGAGATGACAACTGGATGATTGAAGGATTGGTTACCCGGCTATCCCGCTGTGGTAACCGGGTCGCAGACGGTCAAGGAGGCTGTGATTTCGGGAGAAGAGATTTGTGGTCGTCTAGATTCTCGAGTCCTTTCTTAAATGGTACGATCAAGAAATTTCAATCGACGATGTTATTTTCGTCTCAAGTAACTGTTGTCCAAACACCCCCCGCCCCCCCCCCGTAAAAAAAATCCACTCAACTATCAAGGATAAGAAATATTTTAATGTGCGATGCTGATATTTGAAGTAAAGGAAATTTTAGCAGGCAAATTCTTTGAAAGAAAAAACTCAGAAAAAACAGTCAGAATTTTCTAAAGTTTAAAAAAAACAAAAACAAAAAAAAAAACAACAAGAAACAAAACAAACAACAAAAAAAAAAAAAAAAAAAAAAAAAAAAAAAAAAAACAAAAAAAACAAAAAAAAAAAACACAAAAAAAAAAAACAAAATTTAAAAAAATAAAAAAAAAAAAAAAAAAAAAAAAAAAAACAAAAAAAAAAAAAAAAAAAAAAAAAAAAAAAAAAAAAAAAAACGAACAGAAAATATCTACAATGTCATGCTGACTAATCACCTGGCCAAGTTATCTAATACCTTATAAAATAACTTTCACACCCCACCCCACCCCACCCGAAAATGAAATATTAAGAAAACTTGAACTGTTTTAATTGGCTGCGACTATTCGTACCCGGGTACAAGAAGTGAGAGGTTGGGATTAAAAAAACAAAAAACTATTTAAATGTTATTGTTGGGTTTGTAAGACAAAATGAGGTATCAAATGAAAGATAATTGAATGGACTATATGTTTGTAAACTTACTTCTTCCGTTTAACTAAAATAAACTACCACAAATGACATCCGGATAGCGTTTAGTCTAATGGTACCCGGGTGCGAATTACTGGCCCCAATTCTCATTGTGTTTACCTGGCATGTTGTCGGAAAGAGACTAACAGCCCCGGATGTAACTTGCTGTGTAAAATTTTTTTTTAATATTTCCGTACCTCGCACAACTAACGAGACTTCCGGTTGCTACGTACATCACCCATAGCAACATAAGGCAACAGGAAATCAAGTTTATTGGACGAGAATCTAATTTGCATCATTTAAGGCACTGTTCATTTAAAAAATGAGGGAAATCATTTCTGTTGGGAACAAAAAAAAAAAAAAAAAAAAATTTTTTATTCGTTTTTTTGTTGGAATTTTTTTCTACATAAGGCAACAGGAAATTAAGTTTATTGGACGAGAATTTAATTTGCATCATTTAAGGCTCTGTTCATTTAAAAAATGAGGGAAATCATTTCTGTTGGGAACAAAAAAAAAAAAAAAAAAAAAATTTTTTATTCGTTTTTTTGTTGGAATTATTTTCCGAGTGTTTCGCCATCCAATGAAGTTGATGATCCATTCCGACGTGACTAGGTTACCCTCGACCCCCTTATTCTTTTTATGCAGTCGTGACTTCAAAAGGGGCAATATGGGCTAGTGCCCCCAGTCCTTAGAAAAAATCAACAACACATAGAACAGAATGTTCTTTGTATAATACTAGCGATGAAAAACAAACAAAAAAGAGAACAGGAATTTGAGATTGCTAAGTATTACCCAGTGTGCAGAGAATAGCTTACAAAAAATTCAATATTTTCATTTTAAAAAAAGGCAGACAACTTTCTTTGGGGGGGGGGGGGGCGCCGGGTCACATGGGTTATAGATCTGCCATTCATATTTGAACCCAATTGCTTTCGGGTCATTGGGGGGGGGGGGGGCGCCGTGTCACATTGGTTATAGATCTGCCATTCATATTTGAACCCAATTGCTTTCGGGTCATCTCCCGCCATTTATTTAATATGCTAAGATGACTCTCAGAAACGTGTCAGAATTTTTAATTTAACGGCGAATATCCTTGTAATGTATTCTGTTACAAGGATCCACGTTCTTCGCCACTTTCAAGTGTGTTTTTATCAAATGATTTTAAAAAGAAATGTTATTTAAATGCTGTCAATTGGTGGAAAAAGAGTTAGATGGCGTGAGTGTTCACTTGAATCTTGTCCATTAAATTTATTGAACGGCATGAATTAAAGGTTGCTTGAAGCTAAGTGGTTTACACAAGGGCGAGGATTTTTATGTATGCAATCGAAATAATTACCTTATAAAGAAAAAAAAAATTATCCTGGGAGAAAAAGCGACACCATCAGCAGCAGACTAAAACAATGATCAACGACGACAACAACATCAACACCTGTAGCAGACAACAACGTTAAACAACATCAACAAAAACAACAACAAATCAGCAGCAGGCAACAACAACGGTCAACGATGATAAAAAAATAAAAAATAAAACAAGAGAAACAAAAACAACAATAGAAAAATAGAAATGAAAAAACAGATTTCAGTTGTACAAAGAAATGATCACGGGCAACTCGATCATGTACTTTTTTTTTTTATAACATCAGTATTTAACATATTTAAAAAAAAATTCTTATCCTAATGACTGAACATGGAACAAAAATCCATTTGAAATAAAAAAACATACTCCTTATGTCTTTTCTGTTTAGTAATTACTGCTGAATGCTATTTAACACTAACCATAACCCTAACTCTAACCCTAACTCTAACCCAAACTCTAACGCTAACCCTAACCCTAGCCCTAACTCCAGCCCTAACTCTAACCCTAACCCTAGCCCTAACCACAACCCTAACCCTAACTAAACCATTTAGCTCTTAAATAAACGTTTACCTATCATTGTGATCAAATCCACATTACCAGATTAATATATTTTTTTTTAGAAAATATGTAATCATACATCTCTATCAAATTTTATTTTAAAATCATGTAAAAATAGTACTGTAATCTCTCAAATTTAATAACGTACTTTAATCTCTCAAATAGCAATAGTGCTTTAATCTCTTAAAAATCAATTAATAATAGTTTAATCTCCCAAATATCAATAGTAGTTTAATCACTCAAATATCAATAGTGCTTTAATCTCACAAATTTCAATAGTAGTCTAATCACTCAAATATTAATAGTACTTTAATCACTCAAATATCAATAGTGCTTTAATCTCACAAATACCATAACGTACTTTAATCTCCCAAATATCAATAGTAGTTTAATCTCCCAAATATCAATAGTAGTTTAATCACTCAAATATCAATAGTGCTTTAATCTCACAAATTTCAATAGTAGTCTAATCACTCAAATATTAATAGTACTTTAATCACTCAAATATCAATAGTGCTTTAACCTCCCAAATACCATAACGTACTTTAATCTCCCAAATATCAATAGTACTCTCATCACTCCAATATCAAACATTTATTAATAATACTTGAAGAGAAAAAAAAGTAAAGGCGTACAGACCTTTTCTACAAATGTAATCGCCAGGTGAGAACAGCACCGGTCGCAGCCTCAGCACCAGCTCGCACAGGAAACCGGCCTCTGTGGCCTGAAAGATTTCTACCCTCTTCAGTGTGTCCAGGTGGACGTGTATGGCTATCTCTGCCTGGGATATAAGGCATTCATTTGTCATGCAGGTAATTTTGAAAAAAAAAAAGGAAAAAAAAAGTAATTTGCTCAAGATATTATGATTCTCATTGGGACGCGCCTCTACACCACCCCCATCCCCCACCCGTCAAATGCCCCCCTCCCCCAACCGGTTACAGAAACAGCATAATAAACATTAATATTTAAAGAAATGTGTGGCAATTAAGGAAGCCTTAAGGATGATACAATTCATTAAAACTGTATATATATATAGATTTAAAAGACAATCATACCAGCCACGGCTGCCAAAAACAATCGTACCAGCCACGGCTGCCAAAAACAATCATACCAGCCACAGCTGCCAAACCAATCATACCAGCCACGGCTGACAATCACTGAAACAATACTGAATCATACATTGGTAGATTCTTGCCTATCGTGTTCATTCCATTTTTATCAAGAATCAAAGATGAAATTACACGTATTTCTTATCCCTAAATATTTTCTCTACAATATTTTTTAGATTCTCATAGAAAATTTATGATTTATATTAGAGACCGACCAAATTTGTGATTTGCAGACTTCGGCCCTAGCCGAAACAAAAAAAAAGTGAAACATGATTTTCAAGCCGAAATAAAAGCCGAAATAAAAGCCGAAACCAAAAACGTAATGCAGGATTAGCCATCTATCATACGATGACAGCGAGACGTGGAGCAATAATGAAGATCGGTCTGGCGGCCGACAGACAGACAGAGTGACAGCCTGACTTCTGGTAGACGACCGAAAGCCTCAGTCTCTTTCGACCGAAAACCGTAACTACACCGAAAGTTAACGTAACTGTTACCAAAGAAACCAAAAACTACGCCGTAGGTGATCAAGTGGCAACTTTCGACGCCGAAAAACGAGAGTTCGGCGGCCCTCTAATGTCGATGCCATCAACTCGATTCTCAACTCCCGAACGTAAAGTTTGACGAACCAAATATAGACGCTAGTAGACGTCAAAAACTTACTGGGCATCAAACTCCCCCGTCTACTCTGGCGAGCCCTGTCTCTCAGCAGACATGAGCCTGGGCTATCACTGACCAATTTTTAATTTAAGCTAGTGTTTCACTTTCATCGCCATGTACCTTCAGCTTGTCGGGGAGAAGACTCAGCGATTTCTCCTCGTCCGCGGACTTGTTGCACATCCAGAGGTAGTCAAACCATTTGATGACCCGGTCCTGAAGTTTGAGCGGCACGCGTCGCAGCGCCATGTATGTCTTCACACCGTCCAGTCGGGCTGAGAAAATTAAAAAAAAAAAATAAAAAAATTATTAAAAATAACACATCAATTTATTGTGCGTTATCATTGTGTTGCGTTTAACAATCCAAGAACGTGTCTGAAAAAAAAGATTGTGTGTGCCCTTGAAGTATAATCAAAATGGATTAGCTGTTTACTTTACTTAAACTCTCGGGCAATTAAAAAAAATGCAGCAACCAATCATTCGATACATAAAGTATTGAAGGGAAAAGAACGATGGACCAACGAGAAAAATTAGAGCAAGCGGTATATAACAAACAAAAAAAAAAAGACTTGGGAAGTGATGCACGGATTTCAAAAGAGTCAATTCTTTTTTTATTCTTTTCATTTCTATAAAAAAAAAATATTTCTTTATATTCCCTATATATCCTTGAACACAGAGCGCGCCCCCCCCCACCCCCCAACCCCAAAACACTAAAAAAGAAAAAAAAAAAAAGTTTTTCCTGATTTTAACAAACAAAAAAAAAAAGACTTGGGAAGTGATGCACGGATTTCAAAAGAGTCAATTCTTTTTTTATTCTTTTCATTTCTATAAAAAAAAAATATTCCTTTATATTCCCTATATATCCTTGAACACAGAGCGCGCCCCCCCCCACCCCCCAACCCCAAAACACTAAAAAAGAAAAAAAAAAAAAGTTTTTCCTGATTTTGAAGGGGACGCTGAAGGAATTAGGACACTGGTTTCATGAAATACAAGTTTAGATAAACTGACTGCACTAAATGAGAATGTTAGTGCGTTTGGTGCGATCTATTTTCTTGTGTTTCCCCGAAACAGCGGGTGAAATAAATCTGCGGTGTACAGGCGGCTGGGTCATTAGAATATTACTAGAATTCATGGGCGTGAACAAATGTGCGGTTGCGAGCCTTGGGGTGTGGGGGGGGTGGGGGGGTCACTAATTAGGATTCTTATAAAGTGATAAAGTGCGTCATTTGTATGAATATTTTGGTCAAGTTTTCAGCCCCCACCCCACATCGCTCAATATAGCATTTTATATAGGATTCATACGAACAACTGTTTTATGGGTTGTTTCATAATTCATTTCCTTTGATTAAAACACAGGATAGGAGAAAAAACAACAACATTATTGCGTGTGCTGTTTTTGTTTTGCCCCACCCCCACCCCCAAAGAAACACCTACTTATCGTTTCAAAAAGGTGCCACCACCCGGCCAGCCCCCAAAACAACGAGAGAGAAAGACACGTGATCATTTTAAACCTTATACGTAGTAAAGAGGTGCCACGGAGAGAGTAGTTGCCCCTACACAAAAGTACCTTCCCAACACCCCCCCCCCACTTTTAAACAATGTCAAACTTGTCATTTGCATGACAGCTCGTTATGACATCTCGTTATGACAGCTCGTTATGACAGTTTTTTTATGACAGTTTGATATGACAGCTCGTTATGACAGCTCGTTATGACAGTTTTTTTATAACAGTTTGTTATGGCAGATCGTTATGACAGCTCGTTATGACAGTTTTTTATGACTGTTTGTTATGGTAAATCGTTATGACAGCTCGTTATGACAGTTTTTTATGACAGCTCGTTATGACAGTTTTTTATGACAGTTTGTTATGGCAGATCGTTATGACAGTTTGTTATGACATTTCGTTATGACAGCTCGTTATGACAGTCTGTTATGACAGTTTGCTATCTCAGTTAGTTATGACACTTTGTCATGCCAGTTCGTTATGACAGCTCGTTTTGACAGCTTATGGGCTAGACATACATTTAACTGTTAGAGAGTGCCACTAAAGAAAGTTTTAAGCTCATTTATTCAATGAAAAATATCTGTCGAGTTAAAAGAAGCACAGAAAATTAATCATAAATACAAAAAAAAAAAAAAAAAGCAAAAAAAAGAAGAAAAAAAAAAAAAAAAAAAAAAAAAAAACAAAAAAAAAAAAAAAAAAAAAAAAAAAAAAAAAAA